GCAGTTCGGCGACATTTGCTGCGGAGAGTCCTGTCCGATGAGTAGATCTTCCGTTTGGGAGCCGGGTTATAGTTGCCGTTATTTCTCTGGCTCTCTTTGCATTCGTCGTACTTCTCCCTTCTTCATTCTGGGGGTGGTCGTGCGCTCTCTTTAGTGGTCGGTGAAACGGCTTCTTTTTCTTGTTACCTTCAATTTTCTAACGGGGAAACTTTCTTTTCAATTGCTCCTGCCTCCTAATGGCTTGTCCTTGTGCTTGACGTTGTTCCACCTCTGGAGCTTGTGCCTGCCGTGCCGGATCCTGCAAAAGATCTGTAAATATTTGCATTTTATTACGGTCATAGTATGGTTTTATTTGATCAATGTTTGCGGAGCATGTTTCACCATTCCTGGCTTTTAACACCACTACAGCGTCAGTTATTTTTTCTATGACATGAATGTCATAGAAAAAATTGTCCTTCAAATCGTGGAAAAAATTTGGCGGTTTTATCTTCTGGTGCTGAAGAAAGTGAATGCTTAATTTTTAATACTTCATCTCCTACTTTATAAGTTACTCCCCGTCGTTTCAAATCATAATAGAGCTTCTGTTTTCTTTGTGCTACTTCAGTGTTCTTTTTTGCTTCTTTAATTAATTTTTCTATATCACCCATTTTAAATTCTGGGGCTCTTTGTTGAACATAAAGTAATTTATCTAACGGCGTTTATAATCTTTCTGCCTAAAAATAACTCAGCAGGAGTTTTGCCCGTTGTATCATGTTTTGCGGTCCTAAGGGCGAAAGCAAATTCATTGACATAGTTATCCCAGCTTTTATAAAATTTTTAACATAACTACGGATAATTTTCACTATATTTCTATTGACCCGTTCCGCTATATTTGATTGCGGCCGATAAGGGACCATTTTTAAATGACGTATGCCCAGTTTTTGGCACATGTCTTCAAATATATTACTTTAAATATATTACTTTTATTTAAGGTGCTTCATAGCCGATCGTCTGATTTCCATTAATTGTTTTACGTAGCTGTCTTCTCAGTCAGAAAGGTTTTACGTTTGATTAAGCGTGTTTAATACAGTAAATAGTCAGCATAATAAACATCGAAATTATTTGCATATAATTTAACTAATTTACTTTTTTACTCTCCTGCCATCAGATTTCTCTAACACACATTTTTTATTGTATTATTTCCATTCATTTTAAAAGCAGTTAAGAAAAATTTTATACATGATCTAGGGAAATTAAGAACTAACAACATTAATTAATTCTGAAAAATGACGCGCTTTTATGTGCACTGCCGTCTAACATTAAATTTTGGAATTAAGATGGATCGTTCTTGAAATAAGAAAGCGATATTAATTTACCTTTATGGTTCTGAACTATAGAGATTGAGCTTATCCTGGCAGCGTGATTTTGTGTTGTTTCTCTTTAATCTAGATTATAGCTCTTATTGCAGTTTCTAACGCCAGAATTTGCGTTAACTCTTAAACTGGTTCATCATTGCCTAATGAACTTTCTTAAGTAAACGAATTGAACTTTGAACTCTCAGCGGTTGGTTAGAGTTTATTTTAGCAGAACGAACGCACGAAGTTCATCGGAATGGCATCCAGAGTTTAAACAAAGATGTTTGAAAGAAACATACTGCATTATGAGTTTTATGCTCCTTTTTCTTTCTTTTTTTTTTTTTTTTTTTTTTTTTTTTTTTGAATGAGAAATATAATTCCAATACTTGTCCTGTTGCATCCATGTTTAATTTCTCTCCGAATGGTACAGATAGTTTCTTTCATGACTTCCATGGAATAAGCGACAAATATTGCTGGGTGGATTACAAGAAACTGCCTAAATTTTCTCTCATCAGAAATATAAGGAGGTATGATAAGACATGACTCTCTTTTCCTCAGCCATTTAAAATTATTTAATATCAAAGAAGTAAAAAAAAAGTTTAAAATTTTGAATTTTGGAATGGAAGATTTAAGGCAAAACGTTCCGGTTAATACTGCAACAACCAGTATTGATGACTACAAAAACGCTTATTTTCCACCAATTTACCAATAATAAAAAAAATACCTATAAATACCCGTCACAGGTAACTATTGCTTTGAGGAAAAGGTTGCTGTAGCAAATAGCAAAATAAAAATTTTTGTTTATTAGCATTCTTATTAAAATAGACAATAACTTATCTCCAAACAATGGGTAATATTTAGTAGTGCTTAGGAATAAAAATTGTAATGAAAGACTTAATTGGACAAGTGGAATTGATAGTTGCCCACTGGTAGTTAGAACCGGATTCAAATCCAGGGAATATGGATATTTTCTTGTTTTTTTCCATGTGGGTAAATATAAGCCAGTTTTTATTAGAAATGAAGGAGTCCTTTTTTAGACAAATAACACTCGCGTAATTTTCCTTTATCAGTTAACCAAACTAAATATAAAACTTTGTTAATTAATAATTATTTATTTAATACTTAAAGTACAAAAAGCGAATACATTTTCTATTTTATATACGTTGTCAGTATAGAATTTAGTACTGAAAAGGACAGAAGAGATAAACAAAGCCTTGCAGTGAAAATCTGTAGCTTATATAAAAAGATGCGTATTGAATAGAGAAATTAACTTTGTGTTCTTATCCGAGTGAATAATCTGGCTGCATAGCTGATTTTCATAGTTTTTCCCATGCATAAAGTAAATAGGAGCTGGTTCTTCTTAGAACATCAAAGGTATCCTTCTCGTTAGGCAGATAATTTTCGTATAGGGTGCGGCAGCTTTCATAGCGTAATTTGACTTGACCACAATGACGTGTTGCATGAATGCGCGCCAGCTCGTGCCGCATTCGTGTACTAATGAGCTGCCATTTCGAGTGTGACAGTGATATGGATCGCTAGAGTGCATAGCATTGTGCCTTTGCTGTTGAAAGTTATTTCAAGAATAACTACTGTGTTATTGCTACCCAGCGTCTATTTCGGCAACATTTCAACTTGGGACGTTATGAGAAAGTTCCAGATGGACGGACCATTGCGACAGACATTTCCAGATATAGTAATTTCCCGTTTTGGTGACATTTCCTGGCCGCCTCGCTCACCTGATCTCTCATGTGCAGTACCTGAAGCAAGAAGTTTTCCGAACACGTTTGTGCTAGCATTCCTGAGTTGAAGGATCGCATGCTAACTGCCGTCGGCAATGTCCCAGGGAATACGTTACGCCGAGGTATGGCAAGCTTCCAATGCCGCCTAGATGAATGTGTTGTGCAGAGGGGGCATCATATTGAAAAAGTAATCCACGCAATGGACAATGACTTACATATTAGTAAATGGCATACCTTTAACTATTAATTGACATAAGAGGTAATAAATAAATTACAGTTACTGCCTTATGGTGTGCTTTTAATATCCTACTATGAACGCTGCTGCACCCTATATAATTTAAGTATTGAATTGAATAGAATTATTATATCTTTCATTACAGAAAATAAAAGAAAATATTCTTGAGAAATGAAAAATTATCGTAGCAGAAATGCAGAAATAATAAATATTTAATCTTACAACTAAAATGAAAATAATGAAAAATTAAAGGCAACATTTTACGATTTCTGGTTTCTAATAGGTAAAAAATTAATATCATTGGATTTAAGTATATAAGCAGGTTGTAGCTTAGCACTTAAATATTCAAAAACGGTGCAAATGCTCTAGAAATTTCATTAGAAAGATCTTGTTTTAAAAATCCCGAGATTTCAATTATTCTTTTTTCTAAAGTTAGATTTAAAGGTAGTTCACTAATGCAGCTCAATTCAAATTCATCTGAGTTTAAAAAATTTGTTAATAATATTTTACACTAATTTACTATCGGTAGAAGAAAATAAACTTCAGCAAGTTTAAAACTAAGAATTATGCAAAATCTTCTTTTAGCCAATAAAAATTTTCAAACCTACTTATTCTCTCAATAAACCAGGATTTAGTAGTTGAGTAGATTCTGAAAATCACTGACTACATTGCTTTGTTAAAAGCAAAAATATTAAATTACCAAAAAAATAAACAAGACTTGAAAGTTAGAGCAGAACTTTCTATATTAATTGTATCACTATTTATATTATTCCAGTGTTATTCGTTACTTAACAAAAATAAATTTTTTGACATTTTCATTTAAAAACTATAAATAATAGTATGCATTATTTTTCTGAATGTTTAAGGCTACATTCAAAAATATTATAAAAGTATCATAATTTAAATGTCCATCTTTAAGTGTGCTGATATGGTTAATTTGATTGTACATAGGGAGGCGAACATTTTCCTCTTTTCTTCAGATAAAAAACATCTAATCACGGCTCTGGCTAGTTGTATGAAGGTTTTCCTGCTTTTTTTTAAGTGCAACAAAAGTGTGGGTCAGTTTTCCTTAGTAGTCTATAAAAATATCAATCTTCTTTGGTAAACAACCCTTGTGTTCTTTGCCTAGGGGCGTAATAATAGTAAGAACGTTGTTTATGTTACTGTCTTAAACAATCTATAAGTAACTAAATAAATTAAATAAAATTTTAAAAATGTGATGGTAAAATTTAAAAGTGATAAATGGTAATATTTAAAGAATGATAAATCGCAGTCTATAAGATTGAAATAATTTGAGAGCGATGAGTCACAGAACAAACACTGTTCAAACATTGGGGGACTTGAAAAATGAATGTTTTAAAATTATTTTTTAATTATAATTCAAATCAGCATATTTAAAAACCCGAACTTTTATAAGTATGCAGTACGGTTTAACTGAAGTTGCATTTGGCAATAAATTAATTAACTAAGGACTTATTTTACTTTATTGTAAGTGATGTTGCTCGAGTTACAAATCGCAATAAATTTTAGTGTTGAACTCAAATGCCTATGATATAACTGCTGCCGTTTATATTTCTCTTCCTTGATTGGTCTCGGGGAGGGGAGGAGAACTCACCTAAGTTGCAGCTTCTATGAGGCGGTGCGAAATTCCCGTGAATAGGCGTCAGTGCCCTCTACCTCTGATGACCTGAAATTCGCCTCATAGATCTGGAGTTGCTATACCTTAAAGTGGCTTTGGCACGCGGTTTTAAATTAACACCTGTTGACAATGGATCAAAGCACTTTGTAGTTAAGTAGCAGTTTCTGAAAACTTCATTACTAATGAAGGTTTTAAGCAAGGCAACAGCTTTTTTTTACTGCTGTAACTTCATTGTCATGTTTCCATTTATAACTTCAAACCAACCAGTTTTCTCGGCTTATGAGCAACTGCGAAATTCAATACTGGACTTTTCTATTTCCGGTTTCAATATTTTGGATCATGATAATGAACAGAAGGGGAATATCTTGTATTCTCCTTTCAGCGTGTACAGCGTTTTAATGTTAACTCATCTAGGGGCTAAAGGAAAAACTGCTCAACAGATATGCAAGACACTGAAGTTATGTCATATGAATATAACAATGGTGAGATTATTTTACATTTTCTCCCCCATTAAATGTATGTTTAAAGAATTCCAAAAGTTTTTTACGAATTGTGAATGTTTTCATCAAGATATACGATTTAATCAACGCTTATTAATATATCCTAAAAGCGTTAAAAATTTTTAAAAAATTTAATTTCCAAAATTTAATACAAATATATATTAGCTTTTTATGTATCAGTAATCGTGACAATTTTTATGTCTGAATAAAAAATTTAAATAATTTTTCTCGAAGTTGATATAAACTTCGATAAAATTGGAAAAATATTTAAATTTGTATACATTCTCTCTATGTAATAATATATATATATAAAGAGAGAGAATCAGGGAGAGATTTGACTTATTTTGCTTTTGACCTACGAGTAATAAATATCCGTTATTTATTCACGTTATTTATTCACCTTAACCACAAATGAATATTCTTTTAGCTAAGATTGATTTACGTTTAAGAATTAGTAAAACAACGTCAGGAAATTTAAAATTAAATATCCTCCCCTGCATCACATCGTTTATTTATAAAATTCATAAATTCGTTCGGTATCGAAGCATTTCAATTTAATCTCTTAAAAAATCATATGTACATTTTACCTTCCCAAGTTTATTTTAAATAATAATGTTGAATCTCATCAATCTAAATTGCAATAGAGTATTTATGTAGTCTATAAAAGACAGCAAAGCCATTAAATTTGCATATTTATTAAGCTTTAATTAATACTGCTACTGAACTAATTATATGCAGTGAGGTAGTTTTAAGAGTTATTATTGCAGCCTTGTTATTTAAATTATGTAAACTACGATGGGACTAGAATATACTGGTTGAAAGATGCGGAAGTTTAGATAGGAGAGGTAAAAAGGATAGTTTTTTTTTTTTTTTTCCCCCTAGAAACAAACCGAATTTATTACTTTCAGGTGGTAGGTGTCGTTTTATTTCTTGTGGTAGTGGGTAGAATTTTTGTTCTGCTGCATTTGGACTAGTTTCATTCAGGATGCTCACAGTATCCTCTTAGTCCGTCACTTGAGCTTTTCTGTTTCCTCAATTTGATTCCTAATTGAGCAAACCGGCGAGTAAGTGCTTTAGTCAGATTTGTTTTAATTAAAAATGTGTAAAAAAATTTTACTGCTTCCGAAGAAACGATGCTTATTTAGTTTTGCAGTTGAATAAAGTTAATCTTGTGCAGGCAGTTCAGCATAATTTGTCTTGTGGTGACCGTCTTAACTACAGAATCATTGAGGTACTTGCTTTCTATTAAGATTAATATTTCATAAATATGAATTCTATTACGAAAGATAAGATATGCAGTAAGCGCGGCATTACAGGTTAACTACAACATGCACTCAATGCATTAATTGAAATTTTAATGTGCCTATAGCAGTAATCTTTGAGAAGACCACTGTAACGTTTTACCATGGAGTGAAATCGAATTCTGCATGTTTTGTGAAACATTAATTGATTCTATGGAAATAGTTTCGAGAATGCGTAATTTATACAGAGCAAGTTAACTTTCTGAGCGTAGAGACTTGACAATTTTAATGTATGAATAAAAAAATTTAAATATTTTTTTCTCGAATAAAAAAATATTTAAATTTGTACATTTGTACATAATTCTCTCCATATAATCATACATATATATATATATATATATAAAAAATATAAAATATCTAGCCTTCAAAATCTTTCAAATAATAAATTAATAGCCCTTTAACTTCTGTCTTCATTCTAAAAATAGCAGAGCAATAAATTTTCTAACTAAACGAAGAAGATCCATCATCTAATTTGTACTGCGCAGTTATTTATGAAGTTTGAACTCAACACCTGTACATTAAACTGTCATGTGATCTGAAATGGAATTCGTATAAAACCTTAATTACGTCGCAACTCCTTCTTCTCTTCGCTCGTCTCATCTGCTACTTTTCGCTGTGTCGCTAGCTAAGCAAAGTTTACTTTTCTAAATTCGTCCATTGTTTAAAATACGAGCTGTAGAAAACCGAGAGGTGTATAGCGCACCCACAGTGATAATGTGTATCCAAAAATAAAATTATGTGTGGAATTTATGATTGTGTGTATTCTTCGAGTGTCATCTTGTTAACTACGCAGCAAAGTCTTCAAGTTATGATGCAGTCCTCTCCGAAGCCAATCCGTTGCAACTCTCACCAAGTCATCTTATTTTAATAATAACGCAGTTTTATCACAATAATGGAGCAGTGTTATTACATATGTGACCAAAACGGATGGTTCTTTGCATTAACTTGGTACATAATTAATTACCTTACTGCATAATTAGAAAGATGACACTGGAAAGAGAGACTTTTCGACAGACGTAGTCGAATTGAGCATAATCGCTATTGCTGGACACAAACTAATTATATACAACATATTTTTCTTTACATATGATCATGAACACAATAGGCACACCACAATTTTATATAGAGTATCACATTTTAAATAACGGCGTAGTTAGCAGCACGACAATGCACAGCAAAATGCGCAATGCATAGCGTCGAAGCGGCAACAGAGCTGCAAAGCTAATTTCGCATTTATCAGATTAGGTGACGAAGTGACTTTGTCAGGTTCCTGCGCATCGCCCTACCCTGTGTATAACAAGTGAAAGTAATTTGGCATAACTTTTTTCAGCATAGCATTGAAGTTGAAGCAATAAACAACTATTATATGTCTAAACATATCTATTTGTATAGTAGTTCGAAACTGAGCATTTATCCAATATGGCAGTCTGTTAAGAGAAAGGTGTTGGTTTAGGTTAGAAAAGTTTCGGTTCCCAAGAGTTACGTCATCAGCGTTGCGCAGGCCATGCAAAATGGCCAATTAGCATTTAGTATAGAGTTATTTTGCTATTAGTATTTAGTTTATGTTTAGATTAAGCAATTTTTATGCCACAGACCGTCAGCTCTTGCAGTTGCGAATTGTAGCAGACGAAGCCTTCATTAATCAGGTTTTGTCATGGACGTCTGAAGGTACTGCGGCGGAACATTGAAGATCGGAAGAATCGCAGCCAAGACGGAGGATATAATTTGGTTAATAGAAGTGTGCTACAGGTACGGTTGTACTTCGAGATTATTCTACAGAACATATTGAGACACAACAAAGAAAAATTGCCGCATCGCCTCGAACAGTGCATCCAAGCAGAAGGAGGACATTTAAAGCACATTACTTTCAAGTTTTACTGATGTTTATATTGTCCATATTATACATTGCTGTAAATGCTTACGTGTATACTGCTGTTTCACAATCACAAAAGTATTACTACAAGCAATCGCTATTTTTTGTTTTTGTTTTGTTGTTGTTATTTAAATTTGGCAGATATGCGGCTTCTTATACAATACCTAGACTATACACCAAATCTTATATAATACCTAGACTATACCCCAAATCTTTCACCTCAAGTGTACTTTATTCGAGCATTTTTTGCTTTTTGAAAATTTCAGAATACATTACTGGTTGTAAATCTGCTAGGAAATGCTTAAGGTTCCTGATAGGAGGAAAAAAAGTTTATTATTACTTTTTTAAAATTTAAATTTTTATTTTTTATAGATAGCTTCATGAAATTAGGTAATTGGTTATATCCTAAAATATTCCCCTCGTCTATCACTGCTAAAAAGTTTGAATTAGAAAAGCGTTTATTGCAAATATACTGCAGAAGTAAAGCCCAAATTGAAGATAGCTTTTCTAGCAGTATTTACTATTTTCTATAATGTAAAGTCGAAGTAAGTACAAGATACTTCGCTTTTTGTAAAATAAGATGCCTAAATATAAAATATTTCTGTCCGTGATAATTTGTAAATACAAAATTAAAACTAAAAAATGTTGATAATACAAATGAAAAATGTACAAAAATACAGAAAAGAGGTCGGACAGTTATTTTAAAATATAGCTGCCTAACTGTAAACTCATCCTTGAATATAAATTCATCTAGTTGGCTTACTAAGGCGTATACCATCTATTTTAAGATATTTTTCTTTTTCATGGCATTATCCTAAATCCTAAATCTCAACTCTTTAAAAAAAGGGGGGGATAAAGAAGGAAAGAAAAAAAAACATAGTTAATTCTCTTCGCTTCCTTTTTACAAAAACGGTAGATCGAAAAAATCTCCATAGTGAAAAAGGGAGATTTCACAGCCAAGATAAGTAAAATGTTTTAAGAAATAATGTTAACGTTTCATGTTAATGAACCCAGTTATAGTATTATTTGGTTTAACTATTTACTTTCGTCAACTTTCACCATAATGCAAATTAGTTAATGCATATAATAGAGAATTTTTGAGTTTAAGACAGAACCTTTGGCAGCAGAGAACCAGTTAGTTACTCTATTATGTCTCCGTGATGTTGAACTAATTTGTCGGCTTTAGCTTCGCCAGCTGTATTTTATTCTTGAATATTTAGGGTTTGAGATAAAGCTTATTTAGGCGTGTGTTACTTTGCATTTACTATTTTAATTGACTGTGAACACCTGTCTACATTTCCCGCAAGTAGCGGATTGCAGTAATCCTATTAACATCAGGCTTTTATTTTCTCTTAAGATATTCAAACTCATCTAAAATTTTGTTGTCAAATTTTTAAATTTTATTTATTTTTTAAGGGTGTTTAGGGTTGCGTGCAGTCATATTCAGTTTTTCAGCTTGAGTTTATGTGTCATGATGATACGTAACATCATAAATAAATTAATTGAATTTTATTCAAGAGTTTTTAAAATATCAATATTTTTATGTAAAGATACTTCCGAACACCAGGGTAATAAAATAACAATAATTTATAAAAATTGCTCCGTTGGTTAATATTCGCTTCACAAAGCTGCATAAACTAATAAATTAACTTCTCTGTTACCCATAGTTCGGGAAGAAGAGAAAAAAAATACTTCTTTTCGATGTTTTTCATCCTGATGCGACCAGTGCATAGGATCTTCCTCATGTAATGTAGATAAATGCAAATTTCTCTTAAAACATCATCCACAAAGGTAGATCGTTTCTTTAT